AAACAACAACCAAATTATTATACATAACTAGTCATGTAATGTTGTGATTTTTGGCTTTGAAGACCCAATTAGAGCGCATTGGTGGTGAAACTGGTTCTGTCGACCCCCACCAACAAATTAATATAGAATTGATTTTCCTTTCAATTATATAAAATTAATTAAAGCAACGAGTATTATTGGTTTGTCATCCCTTTTCATGAATTTCTTGAGAAGCAAAAACCATGACTTTTGGCTTTGATTTGTCTGACAAGATTGGCAGGTAGAAAGTTAACCTCAACAAGGTCAAATCGCTTGATAGTTGGGGCCTCGTGCTAGTTAACTTGTTTGGATACGTGATTATTGTTGTTTTGTAGAATATTTTTTATTTAAAAATTTATTAAATTAATATTAAAAAAATTATTTTAGATATTAGTATATTAAAATATCTGAAAAAAATAATAAAAATAAAAATAAATACAATTTAAATGTTTTATTTTACATATTAATTTTTAGCTGACCATCAAGGATACATATAAATAGGAAATGTTCACGTGAAATAACTAATAAAATTAAAATGTTTATTTTTCTTAAGACTAATAGCAAGTAGATTAACATAATTAAATAACATGTTGGCTTTTATTTCTCGATCACTTATAAAAATATTAACAAATAAAAATAAAATTATAAAATAATTTTATTTTTATAATAATTTTAAATTAGATTTTTTTATCTGGGCTATTTTCACTTATTTTATCTTAAAATAATAACTGAACTAATGATATGTGTCTATCTCTGCAATATGACAGACCCACCATGAAATATTATCCCATATGATTTTGCGTAGGTTTTATTTTTTAAAAAATATCTCATAATAAAAAAAGATGTTTTTGGTATCATATAAACAATCAAAACTCTCATCTTCCAATCGATATGGGATAATAATCTTATTAGAGTCTTCTAAACAAGAAGGTTGAGTAAAATACATGGCTCGTTCTAATAGACGACACCTACTAATAATGTGTGTCTATATCCACAACATGTTAGGTTTACTATAAAATTTTGTCTTACATGACTTTCAATAGATTTTTTCTTTTAAAAAATATTTTATAATGAAAAAAATCTTTTTAATATCAGTAGCAAGTAGATTAACATAATTAAATAATATGTGGGTTTTTATTTCTCGGTCACTTATAAAAATATTAACAAATAAAAAAATAAAAATAAAATTATAAAATAATTTTATTTTTATAATAATTTTAAATTGAATTTTTTTATCTGGGCTATTTTCACTTATTTTATCTTAAAATAATAATTGAACTAATGATATATGTCTATCTCTGCAATATGGCAGACCCATCATGAAATATTATCCTATATAATTTTATGTAGGTTTTACTTTTAAAAAAATACCTCATAATAAAAAAGGTGTTTTTGGTATCATATAAACAATCAAAATTCTATCTTCCAATTGATATGGAATAGTAATCTTATTAGAGTCTTCTAGATAAGAAGGTTAAGTAAAACACATGACTCGTTCTAACAGACGACACCTACTAATAATGTGTGTCTATATCTATAACATGTTAGGCTTACTATAAAATTTTGTCTCACATGACTTTCAATAAATTTTTTCTTTTAAAAAATACTTTATAATGAAAAAAATCTTTTTAATATCATATAAGCTACTAAAATCCTCATCTCGTCTCAATATGAGATAATAACTAAATTTAAGTGAAATTATGGCTATATGATGTACTCTTCTATTTCTATGTGTTATATATATAAACAATGTACAAAAGATTGGATTGACTTCATGAGGGACGATGCAGAAAATGGTCAAGTTGGTTTTTCGTGAGAAAAAAGTAGTTAATAATTACAAGGAGAAAGTATGGCACACTAATTACTTCTATATAATGGCATAGATTTCAACAAATTTCAAGGAAGACAAAATGTTATTATGAGACAAATGTCAATGGAAAGCCTTCTGATCATTACTTAATTATATAAACAAGAAATTATTATCACTAGTGTTGACCAAAACCTAATATATAGGAATAATTCAAACAGAAACACATTAGAATTATTTAAAAGAAAAACAAAAGTGTCAATAATAAAAAAAGGATCGTTGAGGGGATACAAACACATTAGAATTATTTAAAAGAATAATAAAAAAAGGATCGTTGAGGGGATGCTTATACGTTTTAGCATATAGAACGATGATGATTCACTCAATCATACTACACTGTAAAGCTTGGTGGGTGATCGGTGAAAGCTAGTCACAAAATTGGCCTTGAACGCTCCGGGACCCGTCTCCTCTCCTGAAAGTTACCGAGGCAGAAGGGACCCATGCATCGCCCATTATGGGAGACACATTTCTCGATCGGCCTTTCACTATGAACTATCAAAGCATGAGTGAAGCAGCACTGTGTTCACTTGGAACAGAATTCGATGCTTTGCTTTCCGTTTGCCCCTTTTCCCTATTTTTGTTTCCCGAAAACAAAAACAATTACGCCTCCTCCGACGACTGTTTTTCGAAGGCGCTGCCAAATTTAGACCTACTCTCCTTCCAAGCAGCTCCTCCTCTTAGTACTCTCCTTGGCTGATGATCTTGAGCTCCATGATCGCACATTGTGTTCCAGAAAATAAAAGAGAAAAACCCTGGAAATGTCAGGACTGAACTTGGCCAGGTTAAGTCACAAATGGTTTCAATATCCTCGTGACGTTATTATTATCTTTGATCGAGAGCTGTGAGAGGAATTCTCATGACTACTGTACAATTCCCTTCCCTCTAAAAAAAAAACCCTGGAAATCTAGTTTTTCTTACAACACAGTTATGCATTTAGCTGCCGTGGATGCCTCCCGTCAACAGCAACCTCTCTATCAACACAGTTATATATTTAATTCGATCAATCCATAGCGCAGTCGGGCTCCTTGAACAAATCATTCCTAGCATATAAAATATTCTCACTCCTTTTGACTTCAACCAAAGGGCTAGGCGATGCGGTTTCACGAGACTAGTTTATGTTATTTTTTTTATATTTTCTTTGTTTGCAAATCTATTTCTCGCATTTAAATTTATTTAGTTTTGAATATTTGCGGTTTTTCTCATCATGTTTTTTTTTAATAAAGGTTTGTTGATTATTTCTAGTTAGGTAATTAAAAGAAAAAAATTGGATTAACAATTAATTATTTATATTAAAATTTCTCTAAATGTTTTAATTTCTCTAAATGTCAAGTATATATTGTTTTAATTTCTCTAAATGTTGGACCAGAATAATAATTTATTTTATAGAAAAATTTCCATTTTTTCTTCTTAAAAAGGATAATGTCTTTTCAAAAAAAAAAAAAGAGAAGATAACGTACGTCTTCACTCAAAATACAAACATATTGTACGTCAAATATTTTTCAATCATACTTTTTTAATTTGTTTCCATTATATACCCCACCATCAATTATTTTTATTAAAATTAAAGGTCACATGGGGAACACATGATAACTTAATATAATTAATAAAAATACCGTTTTAAATGAATAAAAAACATCCCTTAAAAAACAATTAACGCCGTTCATAGGCGTTGTCCATGATGTTCTCAAAATTTATCCCGTCCCAAACCATTCACAAATATATATAGTTGTTTTGTGTTCTAAGGGATATTTTTGCCAAACATTATTAAAAATATTTATCTGATGCATAATTTTAACAAAAATAATCATTATATGATAAAAAACAGTGTAATATACAATGTTATATTAAATATTTTAATATTTTTTATTAGAAAATATTATAAGTTTTATCTTAAACCTTATTTAACAGTTTAAATTATTAAATTGAGATAATTTTTTGATATAATATCAGAGCTTTAATGATCAAGAGGTTACGAGTTCGAATCTCATTATTTTTATTTTTTTGATAAAAATTAAATATAAAATAATATCAATCTATGCAGTTTCAAATTTAAAAAACTTTTATTTAAAAAAATATATTAAAAAATAATATAAATTATATTTTAAAACTTTACCTGTGTTAAATTAAATTAAAAGGGTTAAAGTGTGTTTGTATTAATCCACTGATTTCATTGGATGTATATATACAATTATATGATTTGAGGGTAACAACTACGCGCCAAATAGAGGGGGACAGTCCAATTCTTGGTGGAAAGAAAGTGATGAAATAAGAAGATCGCAATAAATAATTTTTCTTTAGGGTTCTCTCTCTCCAAGTCAAAGAAATATTTCTTGGGGAACCGGCCAAGTGAGAAAAGCCACCACCCCTCCTTCCACCACTTCTCTTTCTTTCTATTTTTGTGCTGGCTTTACCTTTCAACATTCTTTAATATTTGTCCTCCATCGATCACTAAATTTAGTGCATTAATGTCTTAATTATGATAATACTATATCACCCTTATTCAATGCACCAATCCCTGTAATTCCATCAACAATTACTAAGATCAATCAACTTTAAAATTGTTACAGGAACAACGAGAATCAACTTTAAAATTGTTACAGGAACAAGTTTATTTTTATGTTTTAATATTATTTTTTTCAAACAAACACGATTTTGTCCTTTTATTATATGATATTTAGCCCAGAAGAATATCAATAAATGAGTCAGTTGGGCTGATATTAATTGCTGAATACTTGCCTGTATTTAGCAACAGCCTTTCCCAGTAATCAGCTACTCGTTTTTAAAAAGTTTAAATTTTAGTTTTTATTAAAAATTAATTTTTGTATATATTTTACATGTTGATTTTAAAAAAATAAAAAATATTATTTTAATATATTTCAACATAAAAAATACTATGAAAATCAACCAGACCACAATTTAAAACAGGATTATATAACTTAGAAGGGCATTTTAGTGGTGCTAAAAACACTAGTTGAATTTCAAAAACTATATGATATATATCATATATCCCTTTGTGAAGCTAGGGTTAAGCTAAAAATTATTCATATCCACGAAAAGGGTTTATTGGTAAATGCACAGCCTCGTAGCTAGCAGCATCTTTAATGTTAAGTTGGTCCTTGGCCCCTCAACAAATGTGTATCGAATTTCAAATCCTCCTTTCCATTCACTTTTGCTGAAGCTTCTCCTCCTCTCCCTTTCTCTCTCTCTCTCTCTCTCTCTTTCTTTCTCTTCTTCTTCAGCTAGCCTTGGTGCTGGTTCATGGATATTGAACCCTTGTGGGCTCTTGGGGGGTGGTTTCTTTTTTCTATTACTTGCATGGCAACACCAAAATCACAGTCAACAAGCAGTGAAACCTTCAAAAGATCACACCATTTCTTTCTCTTCCTTGCACTTCTTTTCGTTTTTATTTTACTCACTAGCCCTAGCAAGCCAATAAACCCAACAGACACGGTTATTGCATCAATTTCCATCAAAAGGCTTCTATTAGAATCCTCAGAACCAGCCTCTACTACCATGAACTTGCATCCAAAACATACGCAAGGCACGCGCACTTCTTCTTCTTCATCATCACCACCATCATCAAAATCCACGCGTAAGAAGTTTGGAGCTCAGGCTCATGAAGTTCCTAGCGGTCCAAACCCTATATCGAACAGGTAATTAATTAAGTTGATCATGATGAAGCACAGAAAACTTGCACTGCCATGAGAGCCTGTTGTTGAAGATGATAGTTACAGAATTGCAACTGTGAAGTTATTATGAATTTGTCATCTTTATTTTGATTGTTTTCGTGCACCATTAATACTGCTTGTCCTCAGTGAGAGGTTTGTTACTGTGTTGTTGTGTCATCATCCTTAGCCTTACCCTTTTTTCTCTTATCTTTTTTTGGTGTTTGTTTTGAGGTGGGAAGGGTTCTTTTTTTCTTACTAGAAATTAATGTATAGCAAGAGAGAAACTCTATATAATTTTATATCTTGGTATATGTATGCTTCCGTCTATATATTTGATTCATATATATATATATATATATATGATGGTGATGGTGGTGGTGGTATTGTCCTCTTTTTTTAGCATTATGCATGATCTGATGAGTGCTTTAGGTCACATATATAATTTTTTGGGTGCCCTTTTCTTTTGGTTAAAGATTATTAACAATTTATTGCTAAAATCTTGAGAAATTAAGGTCATGGATGATCATCGAGGAGATCTCTTAAGTTGAAATTTACGAGTGTCATCAACTCGATCCAGTCGTTAATTTGTTCATATGCTTCTCATAGTCAATGGATTACTTCTTAATTTCAACTATTTTTGCTAGAAAAAGGTCTCATATCCTCAAGAATTTGCTGAGTCTGATCAATTGATCATAAAAAAACTTCTTAAAAAGATGAAGAGGCTAAACAAGAGGAAGTAATTAATAACAGAAAGAAGATCTATCTAGCTAGCTAGCTAGCGCGCATGGGCGTATAGTTGCATGGATTTCCTTTCCAACCTAACGGGGTTTCATGCCAGGCTGGGAAAGGCAGATAAGAAAGGAATATCTGTGTGGTATAGTTGTGTCGGATGTGTGACACAACAGGCACAGAGGGCATTTTGTTTTCCCTGAGAAAGTATTTGGTCTTGCTTTTGGACTTGAGCTACTGTCTTCTAAAACACTACACCATCCAAAAAAGCTGAGATGAGAGGCCAAATCAACAACTAATTATAAGTCATGAGAGGGGCACAACTAGGTAGCCCCATGCTTTGACGATGATAACAGTATCATTGGCTATATTGTTGAATGATTAGGGAGCCATATTCAATGATATGCTTTATGATGGTGTTCCTGTTGAGAGAGAGAGAGAGCTTTAAACCGTTCCTTTTGACTTTTGTCAGGCTGTTTTATCCAGAGCGAAGCTTTTCCATCTTCAACCTCAATTTATGGTTGTAAAGCGGGCAAAACTTGCAGTATTGTAGCATTTGGCATACCTTTGTGCTTTCAATATTTTACTTTGACCAATGATCGTTGAAAGTTCCATTGGCAGGCAGCAACTTCTATGTGTTTCTTTCTTTTTTAGCCAAAGCTTTTCCTTTATCTTTTTTATATGTAGACGTTTGGATTTTTTTAAAACTCCATCGACGTGTAGGAGAGAAATGCCATCTCTACTCGGAGCAACACATAACTTTTAACTGTTCAAATAATAATTAAGATGACAATTGTTCAAATAGTATGCAAGGCGGGAATAACAAATCTTTTATGATAAAACAAATTTATTTTGTAAGCTTGTTATCACAAGTGATATATATTCATTTGGTTCTCATCTTTTACAGATTACAAGTGTAATAAGAGCACCTTGAACAAACAACAAATCTATGGGTATTTGAATCTAAATGCTTAGGAAAAAATATAATACTTGATGGAATAGCGACAAATCTTTTTAAGTAGCCTGATATAATAAGAAAACTTTATATTTTAGAATTAATTCATAAAATTGCTAATAAAATTCACGAACATTCTAGTAATATTATATATTTGTTACACAATAACCCCACAGAGAAAGGGCTAAACAAGGGAGACAACAAGTAAGAGAAATTGAGGTTTGGGTACTAGAGAAATTTTATGTTTCTCGTATTTAAAAAAGATGCTTACTTATAAATGATTTGATTAATGATAAAAAAAAATAATTCTTGATTTAATTATCCATTTTAATGATAAATTTTTTTTTTATAAAATTATATTAAGTTTGACCCATAATGATTATTTATCAAAAAATGATTATAGTTAGTAAATAATTAAAAAGTAAAGAGCAATTTAATTATGATATTAGTTGGCACTTATAAAAAGTATCTGTATCTATAAATTATGAATTCAATGCACCATGTTTAGTAAAAAGATATGCACTCCTTGAATATTGTCAAACAATCAATTATCCATAAACCTTGTTCGGAGTGAATAGTTTTTATTTTCCATCACATGAAAAAACCTTCTTGCTCCACTTAGACCTATAAATCCTTCATCTAGGGATATTTTAGTGATAAGTTTTATAAAAACTGGACAGTTCTATTTAATCAAGTATCTAGACATAAACTTTTATGTTGCTTTCATTATAATATTTTTGAAAAAGTTCATGGTTCAATAAAAAAAAAGATGTAAAAATATATAGATAAGATGGTCTTCCACACTTTTTTTGGTTTAAAGGTTGCTTACCTTATTAAAGTATCAAATATTTTTTATTCTTATTGATTTAATTTAGGTTTTATTTATATGATCTTCGGGCTATACAAAATACACCTTTTATGTGGAGGCAGGTAATAATCAACTTGGTTTTACTTCTAGGTAAACAATAAACTTTCTATAACATAACCCTAACATAGATATACAGACACACACACTGAAAGGTCTTGGTATTTTATTATAATATTGAATAGTGAAATGCCAAAGAATTTTACAATTTGGTTTTAAAAAATAAAAATAAAAAAATGAGATTTTTTTTTTAGTTTTCAATTAGTATTTCAATTTTATCTTCAAACATTAAATTTAATAGTTATTAAACTTCGTAATTTATTTTAATTTGCTTTCTATAGTGTTATCTCAGTCACATGACCTGTATCGCGAGTTTTACGGGTTAGTCGTGTTGACTGAAGTTTTTTTTCTTGTTTTTTTTCCTCAACTTCATCTTTTAACACTAGTTTAATAGGGAATTAGACTTCATAATCATAATTATTTCTTGATTTGCTTTTTATAAGGTTATCATGGTCTCATGACTCAGATCATGAGTTTTGCAAGTTAGCGAAGTTGACTTGTTTTTTTTTTAATTGAATTTTGTTTTAATTTTATTTTTTAATATTGGGTTGATTAAAAATTAAACTTTAATTTTTTATGAAGTTCTACAGTTTCCTCACCAGGGCCGACACGGGTCATTGTTTTTGTCTTTTTTTATTTGATTTTATTTTTAATATTAGTTTGATTGAGAATTAAGATAAATTTTTTTTATATAGTGTTATCAAGTTCTCATAACCTAGGTAGCAGATTTATCAGGTTAACCTATATTAATTTCGGTCGATCTAATATATTATTGTTTCAATGCTTAAAAAAATGTTTTTTTTATAGTTAAACTATATTTTTCTCAATTATCTGAATTGTCTTTGGACTTGCCAAGTTGACTACGTCACATCAAGTAAATTCCTATATAGTTTTAATTTTTTCTACTAAAAAACACATTAACGAGACCTTGATATTTTTTTTATGTCTAGAAAAAATTTAACCCGACCCACAATGTAAGGTAAGAAATTATCTAGTATATATATACATTGTGACACTAGAAATACATTGTGTATATGCATGACAGAAAAATATAATCTACAAAAGTGTAAATGGTACTCCAAATGTTTGTCATGTTAATGACAAAGGATGTAACTCTACTTATATAGTGTTTGTATGGTTTTGAAGGTGCACTTGTGATCTAACCTTGGTTTCCAATGAAAAGCATCAAAACAATGCTTTTCACTAGAACAAGGGGGTACATTGTAAGTGTAACTCAATTTTCAAATGAATACTTAATCGATTTGGTTAAAATATCCCTTCACGACTAATTTGTTGGATCAAGTACTTTTACTATTCATGTTGTGTAAAATGTAGAACCTCCATCCATCTTTATCAAATATATTGTTTTGCAACTAATTCTTGAGAAGGTTGACCAATTTCATATGATCAAGATTTTTACCCATTGAAAACTTAAAAGAGAAATTTTTAACTAAATGAAATCGTTTAATAAGAACAATAAAGTGGTCATAAAAACATTGATTTTAAATCTCAAATAATTTTTGTAATAAATTGGGCAGGATTTTACCAATTACTTTGAGCTTTTAAACTGACTATAAGTCAAAACATTGGTACATTGACAAGATCATTTTCGGTGAGGATTGAATCATTGAAGTTTAGTGTTGACCAGAACACTTTTGAGTGGGCTTGGTTGGCACCAAATAAATTATATTTGGTGTTGGCCAAGTCATCTTTCTAATAGCTTTCGTAAGTACCAATAATTGACATCTTGTTTTGATTAATTTGTTTTAATGGTTAACATAAGAAGATTGATCTTTCATTCTCTCTACTAAAAAATTAACAAATATAAATGGAAACACTGATGAAATTTTTCTGTCAGCATACTACAATGATCTTAACTGACAAAATTTTCCATACTTGTTTCCATTGATAAACACCGATAAAATAATTCTCTTGGTACATACCGAAGGAATTGTAGCGGTAAAACAAGGAATGAAAAAAAAGAGTCAAACAATATGATGACATATAACTTTTACAGATAACATTATAGATGAAATTAAACTGACGATAAAGTATGTCCATAAACATGCTGATGGAAAAATTTTCTCGGTATCTTCTAAGGGTATTACAATGAGATTCAAAAAAGACAAATCATATGATGACGTGATATTTTTATTGACAAAATGATTAACGAAGAACTGACAAAATAATTTAACTAGAAAAGTCATCGGTAATATCTAATTTATGACTTGACAATCGAACCTCCTCTCCTCTTCCCATATTTCTTATTCTTTCTTATGTATTTTTTTCTGCAACAAATAGTCACCCCCCTTCAAATCTTAACGCAATCAAACCTTTTACAACACATTCGTTATCATAATACTTAGTTTGTCAGCATCTATAATATGATTAAAATTTTATTAAGAATTCTCCATTTTAATTAAAGAAATCTACCTTTTTTTTTCCTTTGAAATTAATTTTAAAATGTTAAGTGTTTTTGAATATTTTTGTAGTATATGTATTTTTCAGGTGTTTAATTATTTTATAATTTTTTCTCATATAAATTTGTTGTATGGATTTATGATTTATACATGTTAGGATTTGTTTTAAATTTTATAAAATTGTATGTGCTTACTGTAAAAAGTTGGTAGAGGTCATTGAATTGCAATATCATAGTAAGTTGAATAAAGTATTTCTATTCATATGTTATTGGTATGACACCATTAATAGAGAAATCAAAGTAGATCATCATCATAGTTTG